GCTCGTTTTGGGTTGTGCTCTACAGTTTCTGTATCTCGCGTATCGTGGTTGGTCTGTCGTCCGAGCTATTGTGAGCTACCGTAACACTGAGCTCCGTGGCTTGGCTCTACCCTGGTATCGTGCTCCAATGCTCGGTGATTTCCCGCTTATGCTCTCCTGTGGCTTTGTGTTAGGTTCATCGTCTGTGCTTCATGTTCTACCGTGGTGTTATGGAAGAATTGCTTTCCGTGCACCTTACCGTTTCCGTGGCCCGTGTTTTTCAGCATGTTGGGGTGTCATTACTTCAGTTACTTTCCGTGATCCATACGCTCCCATCATATTCTTGCCATTCCAAGTTTTCATGGTAGCGTGCTCGTCCGTGGTTCGTGCTTTTCAGAATGGCTAGCTGCCTTCATTAATTTAGTCCTTTTTCAACGTCCGTGGCCTTCTGTGCTTCGTGTTCTTCCCTCTACCCCATCGTGTACATAGTGTGCGCCGGTGTTCCTCTGTGTTTCGTGTTCTTGTTTATCCACTTGCCTCCGCGCTAATTCAATCGCAAACGCTGTTTTTATTTTGTTTGATGTATGCTACATATCGTGGTGAAAAGTGCGCACAATCTCTTAAGGTCGTACACTACGCGCGCGAATACAAAGGAATACGATCCTTTTTTATCGGCGGCGGAGTGGTGTACATGGTTATGTGGGGTGGGATGGTGGGAAGCCACTATATTCACATTTTGAATATTTAATATTAGTAATAAATTGTGCATCTTTATCTAACGCAAATATGATACAATGCTTTAAGGTTATTAGTATTAGATATAAAGTGCATTTAAATTTGATAAGCGCTACTAAATTAATTTTGTGTAGTACTACTACAAACGTCTGCAAGCAATAATATGAGACTTTAGAATAGTACTAAGCAAAATTATCTTAGAAAGTAAAAAAAATGCTACAAAGCTAAAACAAATCATATTATAACCAATAAGTACTAAAGGCTTCATTTAAGCCGAAATATAAGTCACCAAGGCCTACAATTTTTTCAAACAGCTCCTACGACGATATACTACGTGTGTGCGCGTTGGCGCCTTCTACCAATGCTAACTTACGCGCGCACAGGCAGCGCCTTGCGTGAAGGTGGCGCTCCAGCGTTAAAAATGGGGCAAAATGAAATTTGAACTGTGCATTTTAAGTACGATGTGTTGACCACATACAGTGTGTACACCACATATGCAATTTTAGCGAATCGAGGCCGCCTTCGCTGCGCTCGGCAGCCAGTAGAACGCGCGTATTTGCGTTACATTTATTAACCCTAGCCCGTTACGGACGGACTGACAGACAGACACCAGACTCCACTAGGGGGGTAAGATATAGTTTTTTTGTAATAAAACCTCACCTAGCTTTTCTCTTTAACCTCGCTGAACTGTCCAGCTGAGTGGTCATTTAAGAATTTGCTGCCGAGGACAGAAGCGGATGGATGAAACGTTGTCTATTGGATCTCCACACGACTCTCCCCGATCAGAGATCGACGTCGCGCAGTCGTATCCATCAGAAAGCCTTGCCCAGCCTCAAGACGATCAGGACGATGAAGATCTGCTGACCCAAGAGCCCACACCACTGTATACACGATCAATTTATCCCGCGCTCAAGCTCGAGCTAGCATCACATTACCGAGCCAGAAAAGCAATGCAGCGCAGCATTCCGTTGGAGTATAACGACTCTCAAAAGTACATTCGGACCTGCTACGGACCGCTCATTGAGCAATGGCAGATGGACTTCGCGCAGTCGCAAGATGCCAGGCCTACCCAAGTGAAGCTGGATGCTCGTCCCTCCGGACAGCCGCTGCAACAGCAGTACACCAGAATCGACTTTGATGAGAACCACGTTGCCGAGGAGCTCGGTGGTGCATATGGTTATCTGAAGAAGTCGACGATGGATACTACTGGAGCACAGGACGACAATGTCTTTGATGGAGGGGGATCTGTTCCCGAGCAGCTCGTTGGCAGTGACCCCTTCAAAGAAGAGATGAAGTGTATACGGCCAGTGTGGATGGACGGCATTTCGGCCCACATATACGGCTGGACCGTACTGACAGTCATCCCTTTGTTTCATGTTGGTAATTTGCCTTACAAGAGCTCGAGCTTTTTTATGTGTTAGATCCTACGATGCAGCTGCAGTGTTCGTTCAACATCAAAGCATTTTACGTGGACCTATTTAGCCAATGGGGGCTCTTCAAGAAGCAGCAAAGCCCAGTGGACAAAGCCATTCATCCGGACGATCTCACTTCATCATGGAACGGATTCGTCATTGCTTTCAAGCGATCACCGTCGAATTGGATCGAGATGAGCTTCAATACAGCTCGCAAGAAGTTCATTAAGAGCACAATGCTCGGCCATGTCATGGATGTGCATCAGTGCTCCATGGCAAGTGGATTGTCGTGCGGGTGTTTCCTGAACTCAAGTGTATCTTTTGCTACTCCGGCAATGCCCGTATGAAGCCACGCACCCCCAGCGACCCAAAGCTACCATCGGAGCTAGACGCGGCTATCCAACGGTTGAAGGAGCACCTTGTAAAGAAGCGGCTGTCCAAGATTGAAGAAGAATCTGAGGAGACCAAAGAAGAAGCTATTTTGAACCCCACGTACGAAGAGCAGCTACTCAACGAGATAGCCAGGCTGCGTGGTCAATTAGATGTTTCGGTCAAACGAAAAAATCAAATAGTTCTTCTGTCTGGTATCACTGTTTGAAGTGATCCAATACTACGATAAACCGTTTTTCATATTTATTATGGAGTGTCAAATTGGCATCCCTCCCGCCAAGCAAATTTGACAGCGGGCCAAAGCATAAAACCTTAAAGGTTTTAAAAGTTTCAACCCACCGAGCCAATTTCCGAATCGATGGCATCCACCACAAGTGCCTCTTCACATCACAATTCTCAGTGCCATCAGCAGAAGTATTGACTGAAGTGGCGACAAATGCTGATCGAGTACGAGTCCGAGCTCAAAGGTGTCCAAGGGTTCCAAGTCTTCCTGGGGCCGGTCTCGGTTTAAACTCGAAGCTGGTCAGTGGCGCCCAAAGAGTTTCTAACCATGTTGTCATGCGATACCACCCAATACGTTTAAATTGTATAGACATTATCGGACGTTGCATTCTCTGAAAAGTAAACTGTTTTACGAAACCAGCTATCACGCTTTAGGCATTAAAAGAGCGCGTCGTTTTTTTCATTATCATTCGATTCACCTATATTATATCCAATTCCTGTGGATGTACCACCGCGAAGGTTTCGCCGAGAGTGCATTTGTGTTGTACAATGATATACTTTTAATACTGATTAATCAGAATGATAACTATGCTAATTAAAAAAAATGACATTATTGTTGGTCATCAACAACAGCTCCGCTTCCGTGTTATAGAAACTGATAGCGATTTTCGTGCAGCCATTTTATTGCTTCCAGAGAATCGACTTCAGCTGCCGCATCGCTTGCAGACATTTCGCATGGATAGTCGTGTTCATGCATCCACTTCAAAATTGGAACTTGGTTGTAGATAGCCGCAGTATCCATACATGACGCTTTGGAATAATTTCCCGGATATGTATCGTGTAGCCACTCCACCATATCCAATCTTCCATTGTAAATTGCTCCGTCCATAGCTTCTTCTATTGTTGCTTTAGGGCAATTAGCGTGTAGCCATTTAGCTATGTTGCGATGTCCGTAGCTGCATGCATCATCGATAAAACACGTCAAATCTCCACAACCCACATTCAAGTGCATCAACTTTGCCATTTCAAAATAGCCAGCTCGGACTGTTTCGCTAAATGC